TGGGGGGTTTTTTTTTTTTTTTTTTTTTTTTACAATACAAAAGCTTATTACATATCCCTAAGTCATAAACAGGATGATAATGCTAGTATCATACCATTAATCTACTACTCACCCTGACAAGCAGAACACCACAACAAAGCCAGTGTCAGCTAATCACCAATCAGATCAAATCAGAAACTTGGCCGGCACCGCAGCTCAATAGGCTAATCCTCCGCCTAGCGGCGCCGGCACACCAGGTTCTAGTCCCGGTTGGGGCACCAGATTCTGTCCTGGTTGCCCCTCTTCCAGGCCAGCTCTCTGCTGTGGCCCGGGAGTGCAGTGGAGGATGGCCCAAGTGCTTGGGCCCTGCACCCCATGGGAGACCAGGAGAAGCACCTGGCTCCCGCCTTCGGATAGGCGCGGTATTGGAGGGTGAACCAACGGCAAGAGGAAGACCTTTCTCTCTCTCTCTCTCTGTCCACTCTGCCTGTCAAAAAAAAAAAAAAATCAGAAACCTGCCTCTTCCTATCCTCCACGAGGGACCACAACCCTACATTTTTTTGTTCCTTGCCTCCTAAACCTTATAGCATTTAAAACAATGCGTTGGCCAGCACCACAGCTCACTAGGCTAATCCTCTGGCTGCGGCGCCGGTACTCCGGGTTCTAGTCCCGGTTAGGGTGCTGGTTCTGTCCCAGTTGCTCCTCTTCCAATCCAGCTCTCTGCTGTGGCCCAGGAAGGCAGTGGAGGATGGCCCAAGTCCTTGGGCCCTGCACCCACATGGGAGACCAGGAGGAAGCACCTGGCTTCTGGCTTCGGATCGGTGCAGCGTGCTGGCCGTAGCAGCCATTTTGGGGGTGAACCAACGGAAGGAAGACCTTTCTCTCTCTCTCTCTCTCTAACTCTGCCTGTCCCAAAAAAAAAAAAAAAATGCATTGTTTGGCAAACTAGTTTTTGAACTTTATTAAAAACCGAACTGCTCTTTGCTTTTGTCATTCAATACTGGTTGTCTGAATTTATCCATACTGACACATGCTAGGCAGCAGGAGAATCACTTTCTTGCTCCACAGTCTCTCACTATATAAATGACCACTTGACAGCCTGTCCACCTGTTCCTCTGACTGTGCACATGGACAGTTTACAGCTTCGTGGCACTGCTAGCAATGCGGCAGTGAAGCCTCGCACAGGTGCTTCACCTGGGCAGGTGTCCTTAGAGAACAAACCAAGGCAGGAACGGACAGACACATGCCTTTTCCGTTAATATGTTAAGTGGGAAGTTAATACATTTTCTCAGGTTAAGACAGCCTAACCGTTCAAGTTCAGAGTGATAGGAGATTAAATACAAGCATGTAATTCCATAAACTCCTCAAAATCCATAATATGTCAATAAGGAGATTTTGTGGACAAAAGAAACCAGAAATATATAGCAACAAGCACTACTGGGACTTAACCAACTTTAAAAAGTGGAATACTAAGCCGGAAGCCAAGAATTAGCCTAGACTTAACACAAAGCTTTAAAAGATGTAGAAAGTGACAACAGCAGCACCCCTGGGATATGAGGGAGTGCAACAGCCTCAACTTGAAAGAACTTTAAAGGTCAGGATGCTTTAGTTCTCAAGGGTGCCTTGCCTCCTGGGTTTGTCTTTTGCCTCCCCATTTCACCTGTCTGCCTTTGGCCAAGTTGTGTGATCTCATGGGGCCTCAGTTTCCTCATCCATAAAATACAGGAAACACAGAACCCATTTCACAGGTTTGCTCCGAGAGTTAGATCAGTCGCTATTCCAGAAAGGCTTTGAAAGACGCCTTCCGCAGAGTAAATACTCAGTGAGAACCTGGGTGCTTTTTTGCAAGTGGCTGCAGCTTCAGGGACAGCCAGCGTTTATTTAACCCTGAGATGGTGGCAGGGTACAGAGGAGAGCCCTAAGAACACTGGGGGACAGCTTTAAAGCTGATCAGGCAGCTTTTTTTAAAGATTTTTTTTATTTATTTGACAGGTAGAGTTACAGACACTGAGAGAGAGAGAGACAGAAAGGTCCTCCCTCTGTTGCTTCACTCCCCAAATGGCCGCCACCGC